AATCATTGTATTTGTAATTCACTAATTTGTACCATTCAAATTTAAATGAAATAAAATTCCTATTTTTTTTTCCAATTTGTTATTCCATCATTCTTATTTCAATTTGGTTAAGCATTTTTTTTCATTTATGTAGTATTAAATAACTTAGATTTCTCATTTCTTAATTTTTTAAATAGTTCCTAATTCCCAAAGTTCATAGGAAAGTTAATTATTTTACTTTTACAATTTTATTTAGAAAAGAAATCAAAATTTTCAAAAGAAAATAAAAAATAAAAAAAAGCGATGCAGCCCTATTCGGCCTAGGCCCAAGGCCCGCCCTGTGGCCCAGCCGGCACGGTCCAAGCCCATAGTACGGCCTGTAGCCCGGCCTGGCCGAAGCCCGCATGCCGGCATAGCTCATGGCCTATGGCGGCCCGCGGGCCAACACGGCACGACCCACTTTACACCTCTAGTAAGAGATTTCCCAAGAGATCTATTTTTAATTTGTTTGTTGGAGTTATGCGGGGAGAGACCCACCCTCCAGTAGGGGGTGGATTTGAGTCGAGCCGAATTGAATACTTGGTTATTCGAGCTCGACTTAGTGAAACTGTTACGCTTGAGCTCAATTCGAGCTAGAGACTTGAACTTGAGCTCGACTCCATTCAAAGCACATAAGTTCGTGCTTGGCTCGACTCAAGCTCAACTACAAGCCAAGTTTTTTTCTAAAAAATAAAAATTATACATATAAAAATATTTTTTAGTTTACATACAAAATATTAATAATTATAAAAATTATTTATTATTATACATATAAAAAATAAGAATTATAAAAATTATTTATTATTATACATAAAAAATAAAAATATTATATATAAAATATTATTATATATAATAAAAATTATTTATTATATATATTTATATATTTATATGTATATGTATATATATATATACATATATTTATATAATAAAAAAATATTTATTTATTATATTAGGCTCACGAGCCAAATTTCATGGGCTTGAGCTTGACTCAATTAACAAAGGAGCCTATATATCCAAGCCGAATCAAAATTTTAATGAGCTGAATTCGAATAAGTTATAAGAAACTTGGCTCGTGGCCACCCCTACCCTCCAGTAATTTCTATAGGTTTCTTGCTTCCACCATTATCAAAGAAATAAAAAATCAACCGAAGTACTATGTTAATTTATATAGACGCATTCGCATTTCACAGGAAATCGCTGAAGACTGAAGTGTTCTGCAACCCACTATATTAACAACTAACAAGATTACAAGAACTAGATTTTGTCTACCCAAAGAAGCCTTCCATTATTTTTATTATTTTAATAAAATTAAATATACACAGACGTTCTAGAAGTTTGTATCTAGAAAACAGAAGCTATGAATCCGCATCATCAACGAGTATAAAATAATGAAGCTCCAAAAGCAACAAAATGGCAACGATGTCGACTGCCACAACTGCGGATGCAGACAACCACTAACTTAAATTCACTGTTTATAGTTTCGTGGCGGGCGAGGGCTGACAATTTCCCAACACTTTCTCTATCAACCCTTTATGACTTCGTCGTCTTCCCCACATACATCTTACAAAAAAAAATTAAAATGAAAAAGAAAAAAAAAAAAAAGAAAAGAATGATCAACATCCCATACAGAAAAGAATCTATATTTTGAATACAGAAACGATTACCAGGTCCAATGTCACCATAAAAAAATCCCTATCATGAATTTTTTATATATTATATACTTGTCTTATAAAGGAAAATACAAGCTTTTTTCTGAAGCTAAAGGCTGGGGGCGTCTTTTCGAAGTTGACGCAGTTGGCACCCCTCTTCCATGGTTCATAATCTTTTGCCGTGATATCATCCCTTTCTGAGTTCCTCTCCCTACCCTCCACTATTTTCTTATTTCTCATTTACTTTTTATTAAAAAACGAAATCTCATATTTTTAAATAATATTTAATCCCTTGCAGAAAGCATATAAAAGAATATTCCATCGGTCGGTTAAGTTGTCAGCCACCAATACTACCACCATTTCATATCTTAATTGTAAATTGGAACTAGAAGCAACATATTTCGAACCAGAGTTGTGATTTTTTTTTTGGTAAAGACCTGAGTTGTGATTATTATTAGAGCACATCCCATTTTTTTTTCTATTCTTTTTTCTGTAAATATAAATATCTTTATGGGTCCATTTGGTACGCGAAATAGGGGTCTGGAGGGCAGAATCAGAATTTAATTCTCATTCAATATCATTCCCTCCCCCTCCCTTGGAGAATGTTTGATTTCGATTCCATCTGAACGAAAAACGCGGGAAAATAGATCATTTTGATTCTCAGAGATTTCAGCTCTGATTCTAAAACCGATTTTAATTATGAACCAAAAGGGCCCTCCCTCCCTGTATAGGGCATATGCCCCGTTTATCAAGATTGGGATCTGCCCTAATCAGTCTTCAACAGAACTTTTAAATTTATATAGTTAACGAGAAGAACTCTGGAAAGAGATTAAAAACTGAAAAACGAGGCGGAAAATTGATAGATTCATCTTTTCCAACAGTAGTATATCTCTCTATTCACAAATGGAAATGGTGAAAGGACAGAAGTGGCCGGGACATGTTCGTAAAGCATCTGTACTAAATTGCGCCCGTACACGAGGCGCTTCCTAGCTCCAAGTCAAAGTCTTCCCCCTTTTCCATTTTTTCTCTTTTTCTTCTTTTTGGAATAATCAAGCGGGATAGCCGGAGGTCCAACGTGCCATTTCCCCTGTCGGAGATCCGATACATGATGGTAGCTTAATCACAAAGGATCTCCATTCCATTCCATGTTAGTATTGGGCCATGACTATGATCCGCAAAACTGCACGGAGCACTCAAGAAATTCGACAGAAATTCCCTCTGTTTCGATTGGCTTTTCTTCTTCTTTGTTTTTTTCTGTCTTTTGTTGTTCTTTCTGAATTTCCTTATCGAGTAATCTGGATTCGAGTGTTTAAGTTCCGAAGAACATCGTAAAGCGAGAAATTTCGTTACCAACACTGATCTGTCTCCCAAGTACGGCGAGAGTAACCGGAGAATCCCGACATGGACGAAGCCCTGTATGTTGAGGTGGACGTCGGAGATCTAAAAGGCCGTTGCTGGCGATTAAAAAGCATGCAGTCGTAATCCGCGCGCTTTTGTGGATCAGATAGAGTGGAGTAAGCCGCGTGGATCTTGATGAATTCATCGGTAGAATTCTCCTTCCGATCAATCGCGACGACATCAGGATGACAAAGTCGAGCTAATCTCCGATACGCAGCCTTGATCTCCTGACAACTGGCTCCCACCGGTATACCGAGAACCTCGTAAAGCGATGCAGAGGAAGCCATCTTTGGAGAAGAGAGGTAAGGAGGTCTCGTCTTATATGCTGTAGAGGTGTAAGCAGCGGAGAAACGAAGTGGCCGTAATCTTACACGGGAAAAAGCCGGAGGAGACGATTCGACCGGGATGTTCGTACCAAAGAACAGAGGCGAGGAGCACCAGAACGAAGAGGAGGATACAGCTAGCATGACTAGTTGCCAAATGTTGCAGTTTCAAGTTTAGAGAGAGAAGAGGGGCGGAGAAGCGCGACTCTATTTATAGAGAGAGAGAGAGAGAGAGAGAGGATGTGGCCCATGTGACTGTCATGTATGGGGAAGAGTTAACCACGGTTAAGTGGATGGAATTGGTTGGTTTAAGATGGTATTTTAACAAGCTTATCCGGATCCAGTTATCCGGTCCTTTGCTGACTCAGCAACTTGAGGGTATCTGACAATCTGTCAATAAATCACTAGAAATTTGGGATTGGAGTCCGGCGCCGGCGAATTGTTTTCCGCATCCTCTAGTCCCCTTCTTCTCCATCTGTCCGGTGCATAAACAATTAAAGTTTATTGTTTAATTTATGGAAATGTCAAAAGACTTTCTCTAATGCCAAGTAGCGTTGTAAATGATGTCCAGCCAGCTGTGTGGAGATAGAGCCACCGGCACCGTCATGGGCCACCAGCTCCTCCCTCGCCAACGCTCTCCTACATCTCGACGTTGACGAATTAACCTATAGGAATCGGATATTGTATCTAATAATTTTGATATAGATACAAATATATATCTATATTATATAACAGTGTGAATGTAATATAATTTTTTTTAATTAAAATTATTTTTTATTTTTATTTTTGTTTTATAAAGGGTATAAAAATTATTTTATTAATGTAATTTAAATTATTACTTCCCCAAGTCATTTAATTCCCTCTTATTAAATCTTATACTTGTAAGTGTAGGTAATGTGGTGATAAGGCTAAAAGGAATGGTCTTTTTGAAAGACAGAGGAATGATAGGGTAGGGAATCAACCAAAAGGTTAGGGCAAAAGGGGAGTGACTAGATGGTTTTTGAAGGACACCCAATGATAGGGTTAATCAATAGTTGGATGGATCCCTTTCGTTAGGAGGGGGATCCCTATTTATATGGAAGGATCTCGAGAACTTGAAAGGAAGGAGTTAAAAGCGTTTGTCTTCTACTAGGAAAGTAAATATTAAATTCATTGTCAGTCATTAAGGGCACTGTTGAGGTTTCGCCACATGTTCTTATGGGGATCTATCCGAGAATCGGCTTTCCTTTCACTCGAGGATTCTCATAGCTCACGTGTGCAACTACCTTTTACACTCCATACTTAACTGACGTAGCGCTAGTGACGTCACCGTTTGGCAAGCAGTGCTTCATTAGGTCTATGTGGTGCCTTGTCATGTTCGTCTTCTCGACATGATGCGCGTAGGTGGTGCCTGGGCGCGGTTCTTAGCGAACCGAGGTGCCACAACGACTAAGGGTTTAGCGCAAGCTAAACCTGGGTCTTTATTGGCTCGAGTTGAGAATGTTTTCATCGTAAGGATGCGATGAACCATGAGTCCATCACAATCCTGTGATACACGTCGTAGATTCATCGTAGGCTTTCGATGTTGTGGGTTCATCGCAAAGGAAATGTTAACCGAGGGCCTATCGCAAGTGTCCATGTGGTGTTGGTTCGATATTGAGTGAGCATTATATACCTATAATACTTAAATTATTAACTCTTATTTTCTCTTATTGAATTAGACTAATAATTAAGCACATGCTTGCATGTGAGAAATTTCTCTTCATATTAATTACTTGAATTTTAGATATATCATAGTTAAGATAGAAATTGAAAATTAACAAAAGTAACAATATGATTMAAARTAAACTTAARTGCTTATAGCAAATAACAATTATTATTATTATTATTATTATTATTATTATTATTATTATTATTATGAAATTTTCTATTGCACTTTTATCATAAATAAAAATTTTTTATTTTAACAATTATCTTTATTTAATATGATGAATATATAACATAAAAAATGTTCTCAAATGTTTTCGACAAAATTGTATACATTTTCATTTTTTGTTTTCTATCTTTTTTTAAATATTTATTATTCAATTATGACATCATGGGTTTCTTTGAAAAGTTGGATCATTGACCCACCATTTAGATAAAAAATAGCTTTGCTTTTGTATTACTTTTAAATTAGGGGAAAATATAATCAGAGTTGTCTGTACATTTAAAATTAGGCAACAAGTTGGACCATAAACCAACAAATGACAACTGGCTCTAAATTTCAAATTACCCTTGCCATGTTATCAGAGGCTTATGTGGTTGTTGCCAACATAGGACTCTTAATCTAAATTGAACACAACAAAAAACTTATACCGAAATTGGCCTTTAATGTTGGGTGATTGCAAAAATAAAAAAGGGTTTTTCGTCTCTCTCTCTCTCTCTCTCTCTCTCACACACACACACACACAATCATCTTTTATCTACTCAATGATTGTGTGATTTGAAAATAAATAAAAATGGTTTTTGGTTTCTATATTTGCGTTCTCTATATTAATTTCTCTCATTCTCTCTCTCTACCTATCATTCTCCCTCAATCTCTCATTCTCTTTCTCAGTCAATCTCTCCTTCTTCCTTAATTTCTGTCGTTCTCCCTCGGTTTCTCTTCCACTCCCTCTCTCGTTCTTTTTTTTTTTCTTATACACTTATATGGTATTAATCAGATCGCATAAAAGAACATGAGACAACTTGGTATGGTTCAAAAATCATTATACCAATTTGATAAAAATTCACAAGAAACTCTTGGATATGAAATTTACACCAATTGGAGAATGATAGAGATTGAAGGAGAGGGAGATATTGATTAAGAGGGAGAGTGAGGGAGAAGAAAATGAGAGATTGAGGGAAAATGATAGAGAGAGAGAGAGGTTTTGATTTGGCTATAAAACAAATCTAAAAGAGTGAGAGAGATAGAGGGAGCGGGAGATTGAGAGATGACTATGAGAGTGAGAGAGAAGGGAGGGAGATCAAGAAATAGATGGAGTGGGAGAGAAACTGAAACCTATTTTCGGTATAGGCTTTTTGCTATGTCCAATATGGACTAAGAGTCCCATGTTGGCAACAGCCATATAGGCCTTCGTTGACATGGCAGGGTCTTTTAAAATTTGAAATGTAGAGCCAATTATTAGAGTTTTGTTGTTTTCTAAACCAACATGTAACTTAATTTTAAATGTACAACCAACTTTGACTATAAGTTTCCCTTTAAATTATATATTTCATTTACATTATATAAAATATTTTTTACTTACCACACTTAATTTTTGTTTATTCATGGTATCATTTGACTCAATACACTAACCCACCATCTTAAAAGATAAATAGTTTGATTTCTAAGTTGACATTAAATTTTATATTACATTTACATCAGTGATAAAATTATTTCTTATGTATAAAAATTATTTTTGTTCAATATAATGAATGCATAATATTAGAGATGTACCCAATATTTTATTTTTTATAAATATATAACATTACATATGTGGCCAAAATTTTCTTTATCTTTTTCTTTTTTTTTTATTCTTTGAATTTTCTATTATTAAAAAATCTATTATTTGACTATGATATCATTTCATTTCTAGGTAGATTTTAATTTCAACTTTCCATTTTCATTATTAATAAAAATACTTCTTACATTTTATAGTTATCTATTTTAATTTTTTATTATTTAATTATGGCATTATTTATAAATCCATTTGACCCCAAATGGTTGAATTTCTTACCCACCACTAGGAGGGAAGAAAATGGTTTTGTTTTCAAATTACTTTTCAAAATATTTATTTTTATAATATTAAAATTAATATTATGGATTTAATTACAAGAACTTAATGATGAGAAAAATATATCTTAAATATAGGATTTAATGAGTAGAATAGGAAAATATTTTTATTTCTAATTGGTTTAAAATTTTAAATTCTATTTCCATCATTAATAAAAGCATTTCTTAACTATCATACTTATTATTGTTTAATATGTATGTTAAAAATGTTCCAAATTTTTGTTAATTTCTATTTTTTTCATTTTATCTATTTTTTCATTTTATTATTTTATCGTGACAACATGGATTGATCCACTTGACCCAAAATGATTTAATTTCTTACTGATGGTGCGCAATCCGGTTGGTCCTAGCTGTCAATGACCTTGCCTCTAAACGGAGCTACAGGGAGCCAGAAACAGAGAAGATGAGGAAGCTCCGGGGGGAACCCGGTATGAATGCTCCGAAGCTCAAGTTAGAATTCTTTCTTAGGCAAGATAAAACCAGATGGCGCAAAGTTCACATACCTTGTTCTTGGGGGGTAGGGGGCCTTTTATAACCACCTCGTGCACTCACTCCTAAGCTTCTGTCA